GCAGAAACATCAAATACCTCTCTACCCCTCCCTCCACTCACAGAGGAAGAGAGCAGACCACCTTCTGTTCCAAGTGATAATACTTGAAAAGCAAACCTCCTCCCAGGATCATATGACTGCAACTCATAATGCCAACTAGAGTCTCAGTAGCTGGCAAATGTGATCACATGACCCGATTTTAGAAGACTATTTTACGGTACTTCTAGAAAACAGCATGAGGTTTTATAATGCATCTATCAGGAGCTTTCCAGATCAACCATGTTTATTCTGGTGCTAGGATTTCAGCTTGAAGTCAGATCAAGATGACAGCCCCAGAGCCTTCACTTTCACAAAACAAATCCGTAATGGCAGTTCCAATACTTTCATCATGACAGGTTCTTTTTTTTTTTTTAAAAAAAAAAAAAAAAAAAAAAAAAAGGTATGTGAAATGTCTTCTAGGACACATGAAGTAACACAGATGAAGACTCGTGATGAGCTGTCTAGTGTGATCAATGATCTGTTCAGCAGCACGTGATACAATTCAACCGTCATTCATTCCCAACAGAGAAAACAATCAGACTGAATCAAACCAACTTTATATAATATAGCACATGTGTATATAATACATAAGCCATTGTCTTCGTCAAGCAACCTCAATTTAGTCAAAGATTTTTTTTACCCAAAAAAAACACCCATTAGTATCGAATCATTTGGTTCATAAAACTGCTTATTTGTGATGTGAAAACCCAACATGCCTTACTGCCCAAGTGCAACCAAAATGAAAAACAGAAAGATCAGAAGACCATACATAACTTTCAGTCATTTGGATGTGTCCCTTGTGCTGATTCCTCTGCGATTAGTGAAAATCTTCCTAGGTAGGTCATGAGGTCTTTACTCGACCCTCTCCAATTGCTCAGCATAGTACTGGCCTGCAGAAGCACATGTGTATAGCCCATTCATTTACATACACAAGGCTCACTTTTGAAAGGCATCATTTAAAGTTGAACATCAGGAATTCAGCCAATTTGTAAAATGTTTTGGATTAGAGGTTAAGGGTTAAGCCCAACGAGATGCATTCCACCTCGTGAACTCATCTCTTTAAAGTGGTTGTAAAGGCTGAAGGTTTTTTATCTTCATGCATTCTATGCATGAATGTAAAAAAAAAAAAAAAAAAAATCTTTTATGTGCAGCATCCCCCTCCCCCCTAATAGTCCCCTCTTGACCCAACAATGTGCACTGGAGTCTCAGCTATCCCAGGACTCCCTCTCCTCACTGGCTAAGACAGCGGCGGGAAAGCACTGGCTCCCGCTGCTGTCAATCACAGCCAGTGAGCCAATGAGAAAGAGAGGGGGCAGGGACGAGCTATGGCTTAGTGTGTGTATGGACACACGGAGCATGGAGCTCAGGAGTGTGCTTGCTCGGGTGACCCCATAGCAAGGCGCTTGCTATGGAGGCACCTCACAGGAGGGGAGGGGCCAGGAGCGCCGGTAGGGGACCCGATAAGGAGGAGGATCAGGGCTGCTCTGTGCAAAGTCACTGCACAGAGCAGGTAAGTATAAGACTTTTTTTTTTTCTATAAACAAAAAGATGCCTTTAGTATCATCACTTTAATGCACATTTTTATTCTGAGTGCCAGGGGACACAACTTCCAGCACGCCAACACTGGCCACCCTGGTCTCAGCTCCTGAGGCTGCAGTCACTGTAGCCAACCCTCCCTTCCCCCTGCCCAATTAAATGAACTCATTCACAGAATACAAAGGCTTCTGTGAATGGGCAGCAGAGAGGAGTGGCAGACAGATCACAGGTGTGAGAAAGCAGCGTCTCACCTTTTAGAGCCTGAGAGTGTAGTGATAGCTGCACTCCTAGAGCTCAGTAAACCTGTTAGATGTAAATTAAAGTCTAGAAGGTGGCATGTACCTCAGTGCATTTAACTCCTGGTATGCCAGCACATTTTACAAAGTGGCTGAATGCCTTGAGTTCAACTTTAACCTTCCAGCATGTCTTTGGAGTATAGAAGGAAAGCAGAATAACCAGAGGAAACCCATGTGAATACAGGGAGAATATGCAAACTCCATGCAGATGGTGTCTTGAGTGGGATTGCAAACGAGGACCGTAGTGCTGCAAGGCATGTACACCACAAAAGCCAATGTGCTTCCTTTGACAATACATTCAGTGATCAAATGTTTTTTCTTGGCTAGTAGTTGCATGGAGGGGCCCAAACATTGGTCTATGAGATTTTCCACTACTTAATAAAATGACCCATAAATGTTCATGTTCAAAAGGATGTCAGTCCACAGTCCCCATATAAAACCGTGGTGCACATGGCACGCGGCAGAACATGTGTGACAGACACCCTCTACTCCATAGCACCAGTCTACAAGAGGAAAGGCCACAACTGAAGAAGAACTCTTTAAAAATACAAACATTTACTGCCGAAGTTAATAAAGCTACTTGGTAAACAGACTTTTCCTTGCAGCAGGCCACTGACAACTCAGATGCCCAAACAGAAATTAACAAATCAATGCAGGGAGTCTGCATGGAACCCGAGAGGAGCAACTTGTGCCAGAGGCATCTGTCAAGAGGCTACGCCAGGCCGTGTTTCCCTGGTAACTATGTTATCTACATGAGCCGAACCTGTAGGAGACAGTTGGAGGGGGGGGGAGGCTAGGGGGAAAAAAAAAAATGTAATACTACAGCTAACAGTCATGCAATAGATCTGTACTGAAAGGGCAAACCAGATCGAGTGTTAAAGGTTTTGAACTCAACTTCCCACAGACTTAAACAGGCATCACTCCGAGTCAGAGTCAGCCTCTCAACCGGCATGGAGGGACCCTGGGGGGGGGGGCTTTCTGGGTCTTAGGAACCCCTGATAAAGGATTACTGTATCTACAGCACACAGTATATTATCATGATGGTCAGTAGAATGCTCCTTACATTTACATTTGTGCACATTGGGATGGATGTTCCCTTACAGAGAGCTAAAAAGATTATTGCTGTCAGTGGGGACTTATCAGAGGAAGCAATTGCTCAAGGAACCCCCAACAATCTCTGGAGGAACCCCAGAGTTCCACGAAACTTGGGTCTCTACATTATTTTAAAAACAGGAGGTTGTTCATCACTAGATAGTAAAGCAGAGCTTACCTTTCTCAATCAACATTAATAAAAAATAAAAAAAAAACGTGGTTCTGAAGGCTTCCACCTTAATGCATTAACTTCAAAAAATAAAAAAAAAAAAAAAACAAAAACCCACCACTCCAACTTTCCCATCCCCCTCCCAGCTTCTTGAGACATAGGCAGCAGTGGGAGTCATAGGCCCACAGTGCTATCAGTCAAATCCTGTAAAGAGAGAGCGGGGGGGGGGGGGGGGTGGTGGCTGAGCATGGACGCACACAGTCTGTACCGGGACCATGCCTGCACAAGTGCTCCCATAGCATGGGGCTTGCCATGGGAGTACCACAGACAGTGCCGACAGGGGACCACCGAAGAAGAGGTCAAGGACAGCTGTATGAAAAAAAAATAGTTATATATGATAGGATAAGAATATATTATATGAATCTAAAACTCACTATTAGAATCTCTCTCAGAAGGTATAGTATATTTACTGGTTACTTTTTACATTTCTTCAGTTGCATTCGGTTTTCTGGCCTAGGCCAAATTTATGTCATGTCCCAGGAGTACTCATGGGCATTTTATCCCCCCCCCCTGTATCTGGGAGGAGGCAGTTTCAGCTTTTTCAGCCAACACCCTCCTTCCTCCATGCCTGAGCTAAAGGCAGATAGATTTGAGGAAGTAAATGCTTTTTGTGAATCAGGAATCCTCTGCCCTTACCCAAAGATGGCTGCTGCTAGAAATGCTAGGCAGGCATTTTTAAAATAATGCTCAACAAACAAAGCATGGAGACATAGATGCATGGGCAAGTTTGAAACCACTACGTTTAATATTCAGTGCAGTTTGTGATGTCCAGATGCAGTCATCAACGGATGCAACTGCTGACCTCCATGCAAAAATGCCAACTTCCCCTCCTTACTTATATAGCACCATCAATTTACACACCGCTATTTTATATATTATATTTATACACACACACAGCCTTGACAAAGTATTCATACCCCTTGAAATTTTCCACATTTTGTCATGCTACAACCAAAAATGTAAATGTATTTTATTGGGATTTTATGTGATGGACCAACACAAAGTGGCACATAATTGTGAAGTGGAAGGAAAACGATAAATAGTTTTCAAAAATGTAGCTGTCCCCAGTTGCTTCCACTTTAAGTAGCAAGGAAATTTCACAGATGGACTTCTTGCACAGGTGGCAACCTATCACGGTACCAGGTTTGTAGAAGCAGTAGTCATGCCTAACACACACACACCACTTTATTAGGTACACCTGTTCAATTGCCTGGCAACACAATTTGCTAATCAGCCAAATACATGGCAGCAACTCAATGCATTTCAGAATCTAGACGTTGTGAAGACAACTTGCTGAAGTTCAAACCAAGCACCAGAAATCGGTAAGAAAAGAGATTTAAGTGACTTTAAATGTGACATGAATGTTAGTGCCAGATGGGCTGATCTGAGTATTTAAAAAACTGCTGATCTACTGGGATTTTCACCCACATCCATCTCTAGGGTTTACAGAGAATGGTCTGAAAAAGAGAAAATATCCAGTGAACAACAGTTGTGTGGCCTTATTTATTTCAGAGGTCAGACTGATTCTAGATGATAGAAAGGCAACAATAACTCAAATACCGACTCGTTACAACCAAGGTATGCAGAATACCATCTCTGAATGCACAACACGTAGAACCTTGAAGCATATGGGTACAACAGCAGAAGACCACACCTGGTAGAAAGGTGTACCTAAGTCTGTGAGTGCTCACATGTATGTATAATATATATATTAATTAATTATAGACTCGTTCGTGTAACATCAATAGTTGGGAAGATACTAGAGAGTTTAATAAAAGAACACAGATGATTTCTTGCTGGAAACAATTTTTTTTTAAAGCAACAGACAGCATGGATTCATGAAAGAAAGAAGTAGCGGTGGACGTGGTATACTTGGACAGAGAGGTGGAAGTGGACGTGGTATACTTGGACAGAGGGGTGGCGGTGGACGTGGTATACTTGGACAGAGGGGTGGCGGTGGACGTGGTATACTTGGACAGAGGGGTGGCGGTGGACGTGGTATACTTGGACAGAGAGGTGGCGGTGGACGTGGTATACTTGGATTTTGCAAAAGCATTTGACACAGTTCCCCACACACAGCTAATGTGTAAGGTAAATCTACAGGCTTGGAAAAATCTGTATGTAAATGTATAGAAAAACTGGCTAAAAGATCGTATTCAGAGAGTAGTGGTTAATGATTCATACTCTGAATGGTCTAGGGTTGTCAGTGGTGTACCCCAAGGTTCAGTGTTGGGACCCTTACTTTTTAATATATTTATAAACAATATAGGGGCTGGGATTAAAAGTACAGTTTCAGTCTTTTGCAGATGACACCAAGCTGTGCAGTGGAATAACGTCCTTACAGGATGTCTCCAACTTACAAGCCGACCTCAATGCACTGTTTAATTGGGCAACTATGTGGCAAATGAGGTTTACGGTTGATAAATGTAAGGTTCTGCACTTGGGGGATAAGAATATGCATGCATCATACATACTAGGGGGGTACAACTGGGGGAATCAATGGTAGAGAAGGATCTGGGGGTTCTGGTAGATCACAAGCTTAATAATGGCATGCAATGCCAAGCTGCAATTTCTAAAGCGAGCAAAATCCTCTCTTGTATTAAAAGAGGTATAGACTCCAGAGAGAGAGATATAATTTCCCCCGGTACAAATCATTAGTAAGACCTCATCTGGAATATGCAGTTCAGTTTTGGGCACCAATTCACAAAAAGAACATTGGGGAACTGGAGAAAGTACAGAGAAGGGCAACCAAACTGATAAGAGGCATGGAGGAGCTCAGCTATGAGGAAAGATGAGAGGAACTGAATTTATTCTCTCTTCAGAAGAGGAGATTAAGGGGGGGGACATGATCACCCTCTAGGGCGGAGCCTAAACATGGCGGCAACGGAGGGCAAGATGTGAGTGCTCTCTCGATAACCTCCAAGTTGACCATCCGAGATCCCCCATGGTGTGAAGTTCGGAGCCCTACCTGATCGAGGAGGTCTCCAAAGGGGGAGAAGCCGGAGCAGTGAAGGGAGAGCGGGCACGGAGCTCCGGGAGGTGAACAAGCGGCGGGGATCCGAGTGCAGCTGTCGGGTTGCCGGGGCAACGGAGCAGTGCGGCGTGAGCACGCTGTTGGCCGCAAAGGATCACTGGGAAGCAGAGACGCCGGCTGGTTACCTGACAGGAGAGGGGAGACGCCGGACCAATCCCTAAACCTGCTTGAAGGAAAGGGGAGGACCCTGAATATGGCGGTTGTGGGGAGCGAGTGGCACTAGCTCCTTGCTGGGTCCCGCTTCCCGATCCACCCAGCAACCCTCACTAGGAGCTGACCCACTGAAGGCTGGAGGGCTGGGGACTTTAACCCGGAGAGCTAGAGATAAGAGCTGGTCTGAGGCTGCAGTGACATGCCGGTTTTTCCCGGCGCTATATGAGTGGGAGATCCGTGCGGCTGAGAGGAGAGGTGACGCTGTGGGAGCACGTGGCCAGCTGCGGAGGATCTCTGGGGGAAAGAGGAAGTCGGCCGGCTTCCTGATAAGAGAGGGAGCCACCGGCTCACAGCTGCCTGTACCCCCCTGGCGGGCTGTCCGATCCTGGGTCAGGGAGACCCATGAACACCAGCAGACCCACCCTGCTTACCTGTGACGAACCCTAAGGAGAAAGAAAGAAATACAGCATCGGAGACCCAGAGGAATCCCCCCCCAGGACTGAGCAGCAGCGAAGGCTCTCCACACAAGCCTGGAGCCACAGTCCTGAGAAGGGAAGGGTGAGTGAGAGCTGCTGGAGGCTTACTGTGTTGTGGACCCCTGAGTAACATAGGAGAACAAGGGGTGAAGGAGGGGAGGGGAGGTGTCCTAGGAGAGTAAAATATATAGGAATAATAGCAAGCCTATCAAGATTTACAGAAGATATGAAGAATAAAGGTCCCAAGGGAGCAGGGCTCAAAGGGTCTCAAACAGGAACAATAAAGAAATTTACATCATATGGAAATACTACGCCAGAAAGGGCCCAAGGCGCAAGCGCAAAAGGGGAAATGGACACTAGTTCAGGAAATAGTCCTAGATCACTGGGCATGAATAGCAGCTATAGTCAACAAATAGTGGATGGCTTAGGAAAAAAAGAATCTGACAGTGAACTACAAGTACCAAATAAGGAGATGATAGAAATGTTTTTCAAAATTTGGAAAAAATGATAAAACATGAAATGACAGCTATTTGAAATGATTTAGGGCATCTGCTATCAAGAGTGGAAGAAACAGAGGTGAAAGTTAAAACCCAGGCCCAAAATATAGATAATCTAAGGAAAAAAATAAGTCAATTGGAAAATACCCAGAAAAAAATTGATCTATAGGATGGAAGTTCAAGAAAATAAAGAAAGAAGGTGTAACCTTAGAGTACGAGGAATCCCAGAGACTGCAAAAGGGGAAATACTATATGAACTAGTTAAAAAAATTCTAAATTCCATAAGAGACAGACCTGAAACAGGCGGGATCAAGTTAGACGGAATGTTCAGAATAGGAAAGCTCAAACAGGCTACTGAGAAGGAAAGACCGAGAGACATAATTGTCCAGTTCCAAAAATTTGTGATTAAAGATGAGATTTGGAAGAAGACCAAGGGAAGATCATTAATTAAGTATGGAGATCTGACTATCCAAATTTATGCGGACTTAACAGCAGAGACCCTATGGAGAAGGAGATCCTTGAGACCCCAATTGGAGCAAATGAGAAAACAGAATGTGCAGTATAGATGGGGTACCTCAGCATCTTTAATTGGTTGGAAAAACGGGGTCACAGCTTATTTGAGATTTAATAAGCTGCAAGAGACTAGGGTCTAATAAGAGGAGGTGTATTAGAGGAAAGATAGACAGAATTAAGAAGGATGGAAGAAATACAGTTTACAACATATAATGTGAATGGGTTGAACTGTCCTGGGAAAAGATTTAAGTTGTTTAAAGAGTTACATCATAGGGCAACGTCAGTGGTATTTTTACAGGAAACACATTTTGAGATAGAATCAAACGTGAAATTAAAATCCAAATATTATCCAACATGGTATTACGCTGACTCTCCAATTAAAAGAGCAAAAGGGATGGGGTGGCAATAGGGTTGGCAAAGAATATGAGATTTGAGCTGGAGGATAGAAGGATCCGGAGGGGAGATTCCTGTTCCTGAAAGGTAAATTACAGGGAATCGAGTGTACGTTAGCCAATATATACAATATATATTGTCCTAACAAAAAGCCGGAGATCTATTTGAAGGGTCTGTTGAAAAAATTAATAGACTTCAAAAAAGGGCGTTTGATAGTAGCAGAGATTT